CGGCCTACAGCCCCCACCAGCAGCCCTGCTCTCAGCATGTTCCAGCTCACACAGAGCACCAAGCCCTTGGCCCTTCTCTGCTCTCCTCCTCTTTGGCCTGTGTGGGACGGACACTGCCCCAGGAAGCACATCCCCCAGAGCGGGGGGAATGAGGGCATGGGCTGGGGATACTCAGTGATGCCACCAGCATCTCAGCAGGGACTTTTTGGGGACGCGGGAGCATGCATGCCAGCATACTGTGGCAGGCATCTCAGTGGATGGTAGCAGTGGGGTGCAGGCAGGGGGTGTACTGGGAGCCCATTCACCCCAGCCACGGGCTGTCCCCAGCTGCCAGGGCAGCTCTGGGGGCTGGGACTGCCACCAGCTCAGACATTTGGAGCTATGCTATGCAGGGCTGCCCGCCAAAACCACTCAGCACTTCCAGGGGAATTTGTCACCAAGGCACTGTGCCCCCTGCTCGTGGCTGGACACCCACAGCCCTCCAGAGACACCACCTCTCTGTTTGCAAGGAGAGAGACACAAGGAGAACACTCCCCATGGGAACCCAGCATCAGCTGCTTCCAGCCCACAGCTTTCTCTGGAGAAGCCTGAGTGATCCCAGCTGCATGGGGCAGGAGGGAGCCCAGGGATGCTGGTCTTACACTCAGATGCATCCCTGACAGAGGAAAAGCCCTGGACGTCCCCAGTGCCCAGCTGGCCCCAGCAGTGCTTGGGCATGCTCCTACCTTTCACCTGGAGCTGCACCGCGCTTAGGGTCTGGCCAGCAGTGTTGGATGCGGTACAGACATACAGCCCCTGGTCCTGGGGTTTGCAGTACAGGACCTTGAGGATGAAGTAGCCCTCTCGGTCCTCATAGACGAGGTGCCTGCGGCCAGGGGTGACGGGCTCACCATCCCTCTGCCAGATGATCTCCGGCTTGGGCTTGCCAGTAACATAGCAGCGAAACTTGGCGTGCTTCCCGGCACTCACGGTGAATGCCTTAGCTCCTGGCACCCTGGCCGGCATCGTGCCGTTGGGCGTCCATGTCTCTGGTCTCATGCATTGTCCTGCAATCTTCCGCCGCTCTGACAGTGGCTTGGGTCCAGCAGCAGGAGAGCCACTGGGGATCCTGTCTGGCAGTGCCTGGGCTTCCACCAGGAGCACAGCAGCAGCCAGGGCCTCCCGGGAGCCACTGCGTGCCCGGCACACATACACCCCCTCGTCTGGGGGCCGTGCACCAAACAGCTTCAAGAAGTGCCAGCCCTCCAGCTCCTGCCCCACTGTGAAGTGGCTGCTCTCAAAGAGGTCAGATAGCTTGTGACCATCCTTTTCCCACTGCACCACTGGGCATGGCTGCCCAGACACCCTGCAGGTAAACATCACATCCTCCCCCCGGCACACACGTGTGGATGATGGGGCAACAAGGAAGGCAGGTGCTTCACTGTCCAAGCATCCCTCCTCGTCTTGGGGCTCTCCCGCCTCCACCCTGAGTGTGGCAGCAGCATAGGTCTCGCCAAGACTGTTCTTGGCCTTGCAGACGTAAAGCCCACTGTCCCGGGGGGTGGCACAGGACACCAACAGACTGTACAGGTCCCCCTTGGCCTCCACATGGAAGCGGCCCGAGGGCTTAATTGGGATCTTGTCCTTCTCCCAGAGGATGCTTGGCCGGGGGTCGCCCGTGATCTGGCAGCTCAGGACTGCATCAGTGCCGCTTTGCACCCTGAAGGCACGTGGGTAGGCCAGGAACCTGGGGGCTCCTTCGAACCCCTCCATCACCACCTCTCCAGTGTCACAGTAGGCAGCTGGCTGGAGCAGCAGTGTGGATCATTAGCCTGAAGGGATGCACAGATCAACCAGGGTGAGGGGTTCAGGCTTCAGCAAAGGAACCACTGTAGAGCACCAGCAGGAGGAACATGTGCCTGGAGTAAACCCCCAGCACAGATCCCATGCTGCAGAAGCATCAACCTTGCTCTGAGCACCCCAGCCCCACTGGATATCCTCCTGTCTCAGCCCAAATCTCCCATCTCCCAGCCCAGTCCAATGGAAATGGTGCCAAAAGTCACATCCTAGCACCCT